AGTTATGCTGACTTACTAAACAGGACGCTCTCTATTTGTGCTTCCATTTGCTAGGGGATTTACATGTGAAACCTCCCGCAGTGCTAATGGGAGTTATTATCCTGCTCAATCCCCTCTGCGCAGAGGACAGGATGACCGCAAGTGGGATAGGACGTTCGAGCTATTTAATCAAAAAGCTCTTGGAATTAGCACTCCCCAGGTCTCACAGACCCATGTAGCCTAGTGTATTTCCACATTTCCTTCTCATTTTGAAATGTTTCAAGTCTCGAGACGTTTGGAGTGTTTTCTCCAAGCTTACTGAGGGCAATGACCTTGAGGAAAATTTGACTTCCCCAGGTCTCCTGGAAAAAGAGTCATAAAATCTTGTCCTTCTTTCCCCGCTTTTTGTGAACACAGAAATGTAACTGCTTGCAGAAATAAAGCTATTATTATAAAAAGAATTTAACAATATGGCTTGAAAAGGAACTCAGTTAATTTATTTCTTCCTGTAAATGTGTTGCTTTTTCTTCAGAAACGGGTTTAGTTAGAAACCTGCGATGACAGCATGCGCATAAACTTGCTGCGCCCTCAAGGTCAAGTACCCCGTGTGAACTCCCTTCACACTTGTTGAGTTAGTTCTCTGGTGGCACAGCAGGCGTCCAGACACATTCTGGAACTTCAAGTCACCCTCACGTTAGCCTCCTCTCAGGCCCCAAACACGATCACAGGGCAGGTGGCCTTCTATGGGGGCAGGAATGATGGGGCTTCCACTGCCCGGATTCCTCCCTGCAGGGCTGCAGCAGAGGGATGGAAAGGGGGAGCCCTGGGGGACCAAGAAGCACAGACGGCCAGAGCCACACAGAGGTGCAGTGGGGGCATAGTTTGAGACGGTGCTGGACAGGATCCCAGCCCTCGCAGATGACGCGCGCTGGCATAACTGCTTCCTTCTGCTTCCACAGGAAACTAAAACTTTCAGGCCCCGCTTGCTCATGTGTTTATGCAACAGGCACCAACCAGCAACAGGCCCTTGTGCCAGATTCTTTCCATTCTTTCCTGGGCCCATAATTAAGCACAGTTGTAAGTAAGAAGTTTTCCTAAAGCCAATCTGGTAATAGGTGCCCAGAGCCTTCAAAATATTTATACCTTCTAAGTGGTAATATTTCACCTCCGGGAGCCACTCCGAGGAAAATAGACCGGGATGTGGAAAGACTGTTAAGTATTATACTCCTTGTAGGGCTATTTATAAGAATGAAAGATGAAAGTGAATTCAATTTTTTAAATTCTTTTCTGTATATTCTGATTTTCCTGTAATATGCACACATTATCTAACCCCCAGGACCTCCGAGCATGACTCCAGAATCTTCCCATTCTTTCCCGGGCCCATAATCGAGCAGAGTTTATTACCATCCCCTTGAAAGTTAGGATTTAGATATATGAATTTGAGGGGAAACACACACGTTCAGACCATAGCAGATTCCAAGCCTTTTGTTTGGATATAGATACATGATGTTCCGGCACCGTTTGTTAAAAAGCCTATCCCTTCTCCATTGAGTTAGCCTTAACCCCTTGTCAAAAATCAACTGGCCATATTACTGTGTATTTATTTCTGGACTTTCTATTCTGTTCTGTGCTAATAATCTCTTTGTTTATTCACTGCCTTGATGATGGTAACTTTATGTTAAGCTTCAAATCAGGTAGTGTGAGTCCTTCAACAGCGTTCTTCAAACTTATTAAGGCTAATCTACTTTTGCTTTTCTGTATAGAAGTTGGAATCATCTTGTTGAGAGCTACAGAAAATTCTTGCTGGGATTTTGATTGACATTACATGAAATCCACCTATCAATTTGGGAAGGATTACATTTGGGATGAAGCCATCTATCCACAGACATTGCCCTGTGACTATTCATTTTTTTCTTTATTCATTTGTAAAAAGCATTTTTTTTGGGGGGGGGCGTTGTTTGTTTGTTTTTGAGACAGAGTCTCGCTCTGTCACCCAGGCTGGAGTGCAGTGGCGCAATCTCGGCTCATGCAAGCGCCACCTCCTGGGTTCATGCCATTCTCCCGCCTCAGCCTCCCGAGTAGCTGGGACTACCGGCACCCACCACCACGCCCAGCTAATTTTATTTTTGTACTTTTAGTTGAGACAGGGTTTCACCATGTTAGCCAAGGTGGTCTCCATCTCCTGACTTCGTGATCCACCCCCCTCGGCCTCCCAAAGTGGTGGGATTACAGGCGTGAGCCACAGTGCCCGGCAGCACTGGGTTCCTTAAATTATTATTTTATTTTAAGTTCCAGGATACGTGTGCAGACTGTATAGGTATACATGTGCCATGGTGGTTTGCTGCACCTATCAACCCGTCATCTAGGTTTTAAGCCCCACATGCATTAGGTATTTGTCCTAATGCTCTCCTTCCCCTTAACACAGGAACAGAAAATCAAACACCACATGTTCTCATTCGTAAGTGGGAGTTGAACAATGAGAACGCATGGACACAGGGAGGGGAACACACAAATGGGTTTCTTTTAAAAATAACTTTGAGAAGAAAAAGCCACGGTTCAGTGGACGAGCATAGCTGGAGATACATGCACTGAGTATGTGCACGGTTTCCCCTCCGCAGACTCAGAGAAGAATGGAGGCAGAGGCTGGAGAGGAGGCTGAGGATGCTGGACAACCCTGAAGAGAAGGAAAAGCCCGCAAACACCGCAGACTGAGCGCTGCCTGCCTCACCGACTTCAAAGATAGCAAGCGACCACGGGCACTTTTCTAGGGGAAAAAAACTAACACCTAAGTTATGCTGACTTACTAAACAGGACGCTCTCTATTTGTGCTTCCATTTGCTAGGGGATTTACATGTGAAACCTCCCGCAGTGCTAATGGGAGTTATTATCCTGCTCAATCCCCTCTGCGCAGAGGACAGGATGACCGCAAGTGGGATAGGACGTTCGAGCTATTTAATCAAAAAGCTCTTGGAATTAGCACTCCCCAGGTCTCACAGACCCATGTAGCCTAGTGTATTTCCACATTTCCTTCTCATTTTGAAATGTTTCAAGTCTCGAGACGTTTGGAGTGTTTTCTCCAAGCTTACTGAGGGCAATGACCTTGAGGAAAATTTGACTTCCCCAGGTCTCCTGGAAAAAGAGTCATAAAATCTTGTCCTTCTTTCCCCGCTTTTTGTGAACACAGAAATGTAACTGCTTGCAGAAATAAAGCTATTATTATAAAAAGAATTTAACAATATGGCTTGAAAAGGAACTCAGTTAATTTATTTCTTCCTGTAAATGTGTTGCTTTTTCTTCAGAAACGGGTTTAGTTAGAAACCTGCGATGACAGCATGCGCATAAACTTGCTGCGCCCTCAAGGTCAAGTACCCCGTGTGAACTCCCTTCACACTTGTTGAGTTAGTTCTCTGGTGGCACAGCAGGCGTCCAGACACATTCTGGAACTTCAAGTCACCCTCACGTTAGCCTCCTCTCAGGCCCCAAACACGATCACAGGGCAGGTGGCCTTCTATGGGGGCAGGAATGATGGGGCTTCCACTGCCCGGATTCCTCCCTGCAGGGCTGCAGCAGAGGGATGGAAAGGGGGAGCCCTGGGGGACCAAGAAGCACAGACGGCCAGAGCCACACAGAGGTGCAGTGGGGGCATAGTTTGAGACGGTGCTGGACAGGATCCCAGCCCTCGCAGATGACGCGCGCTGGCATAACTGCTTCCTTCTGCTTCCACAGGAAACTAAACAGCTTCATTTCAGCTGACAGAGCCACAGGTGACAAGAAGAGTTGGAGAAGCGTTCTACCCTGCCCACCGTGATGAGATCCAGGGTGCCGTGCTGGCCCCTGCCATAGGCTCTTATTCAATTCAGATGCAACAAATTAGCCGTAAACTACAGTTGGGAAAATCTGCACAAAGTTCAGAAACGGAGGCTGATAAAGAAATAGAACTGGCCAGGCCCGGTGGCTCACGTCTGTAATCCCAGCACTTTGGGAGGCCAAGGCGGGTGGATCACAAGGTCAGGAGATCGAGACCATCCTGGCTAACACGATGAAACTCCGCCTCTACTAAAAATGCAAAAACTTAGCCAGGCGTGGTGGCAGGCGCCTGTAGTCCCAGCTACTCAGAAGGCTGGGGCAGGAGAATAGCTTAAGTAAATCCGGGAGACAGAGTTTGCAGTGAGCCTAGATAGCGCCACTGCACTCCAGCCTGGGTGACAGAGCGAGACTCCATCTCAAAAAAATAAAAAAAATAAAAAATAAATAAAAGAAATAGAACTTCGGCAAGGGCAGAGGGCCATGGGAATGAACATCAGGAAGGCTAACCACATCTGGGGGTCAAGGAAAAGGGAAAAGCTCCCTGAGAAATGGATGCTTAAGCTGAAGTCTAAATGTATTAATCATTTCATTATGCATGTGTTATGCATGTGTCATGCATGTGTTATGCATGTGTCATGCATGTGTTATGCATGTGTCATGCATGTGTCATGCATGTGTCATGCATGTGTTATGCATGTGTCATCCATGTGTTATGCATGTGTTATCCATGTGTTATGCATGTGTCATGCATGTGTCGTGCATGTGTCGTGCATGTGTCGTGCATGTGTCGTGCATGTGTCGTGCATGTGTCGTGCATGTGTACATCAGAAAATCATGGTGTGCACCCTACATATATAGAATAAAGAAACACAAACAGGTAAGAATCTTCCAGGAAAATGCATCAGGGAGGATGTCTTGGGCAGAGGGCAAAAGTAAGTGTGAAGAACCAAAGAGGAGCAGGAGATGGTACAGGGGGTGGGGACCGGAGGTCTCTGGGGAGATGTGTCTGCAGCCCAGAGACTGGGGAGGGGACTAGCCTATAGGAGGGGGAGGGGTGCAGGGGCCTCTACAGCCAGACAAGAAACTCTGGATCTAACCACAGGGTAACAGCAGGCCATTGACAGTTTTCAGGCGGAGGAATAAGCTGATTAGATGTGCATTGTTAATTTTTTCAAACACACATATACATGTGTATGTAACTTTGTGTAGGTGCACATATATGATCATATCATGCACGCCGATACGGTTTATTACAATTTTTGCTAACCTTTTGTCCCTCATCTTTGTGGCTGGGACTTACTCCCTCCCTTTTTCCTCTACTCCCAACTGTCAGTGACCCTCACGCCTCAGTAACAACCTCACCTAGTTTTCTCCACGTTCATATAACACATATGAACACACACATAAACACACACACTCACACACACTGTACATCTAAAAGGCTTTGTGTGGATGTGTTCATGGGGTAACATCTTACAAAGGATCATATTGTTTTGTGTATATTGTGTTCCTCATTCAACCATACCTCATACAAATGCGCCCAGGTCAACGTAATTCGAATTCACATTTTTAATGGGGCCATGTTATCCCATGATGTGGATGTTCCGTAATAAAGTTAACAATTCTTTTAGACGTAGACAGTCACATAATTTCCGGGTTTTGCATTTGAACAGTGCAGTAGTAAATACTCTCGTCTGGAGGTCTTTTATCCCAGGGGTTTGATGCTAGAAAATAGATTCCCAGGAATGGAAAATTAGAAGATGGTATTTGCAATTTTTACTTTTAACATGCTACTAGAAGGCTTTCCAGAAAGGCTGGAGAAATTCCCATTTGAACAGACAGTTTACAAGAGTATGCTTCTCCCCACGCTGCTGTGAACATTAAGTGTCATAGCTAGCTTAAATTTTCTGTAGTCTGAGGGGGGTTGAGTGACATCAGTAATTGGAGTCCCTTCATTTGGTTGTGGATTAGGTGAATTTTCTCATCTGTGAATCGCTTATGCATACTTTATTGCCCATTTTTCTAAGATGTGTCTTTCATGTCAACGTGTACAAACTCTTAATATATTATAAAACTTAACCCCTGGATTGTCATTTACATTAGAAGTCTAGAGGGCTGGGAAGGCCTACTTAAATACTCATTATTAAGTTTGAAAACCTTAAAGCTATCAAGGCAGAAATAGACACCTTTATTTATGAAAATGAAAAGCTTGTATGTAGTAAAATGTACCATAAGCAGAGTAGCTCTGGCAGATTTGCAAGTTTCAATGATCACTCCACCACAGCTGAGAGAATGAATTTGAGGGGAGATGGGAGATGGTAGGAGATGGATTAGGAGGCTGTTTCCCAGGTCTCCATGACAGAGAATGGACGTGAGCAGACAGAATGGGTCGATCTTGCAGGTTGACTGAATGCAGGGGAGTGAGGCACAGAGCATCCACAAACACAGATATTCATGTATTTTACCTAGCATTCATTTAATATGGGCTAAGAAAGAAGAATGTGAGTCCCAAGAGATAAGCAGAGCCAGTTTTGTTAACAGCTCCACTATGTACTAGTGGGGACCTCAGACAAACCCCCTGAGCTTTGGTTTCCTCATCTGGAGTCATAGGCATACCATCTTCTCTTTCTTGAGGTGGTTGAAATTGAATGAGCAGGTATAAAAGCTCCCAGAGCAGAACCTGGCACAAGGCGGGCCCTCAGTGCACCTGAGCTCTCAGCCTCCTCCCTCTCTCTCTGCTCCCTCCTAGCTGTCACCTGCCCACAGAAAATGCACGCTTATCCTGGGCAGTGGTTACAAGGCCTGCTTGCCAGTCAGAATCACCAGGAAAACTGCTTTAAATGCACAGATTCCTGGGCTGTGCTCCCAGAGATTCTAGTTCTGTTGATCTGTGTGGGGCTCAGGGATGGTATTTTTATCATGCTGCCCAGGAGACCAGATGCTTAGCCAGACTTGGAAACTGATTCCCCAGAGGGTGCAGAATCTAGTGGAGAAGACAGAATGATATAAACTGCGTCTGCTTGGTAAGGTTTTTAAGAAGAGCACTGTGGTGCTCTGGGGGGAAGCATGGAAGTCTCCCAGAGAGGGTGAGAGGCAGAGGCAGAGCCTTGAGGTAGAGGCAAAGGACAGCCCAGACAAAAGAACCAACTGCGTAAAGCCAGGAAGTGGCCTCTGTGCTGTCCCTGTAGGGGGTGGAGGGAGGCAAGGTTGGGGTTAAATGGGGAAGGCCCTTGAATGGTGAGCTAAGGAGTTTGGACTTTATCACATAGGCAATGGAGGCTCATCAAAGGTTTTTAAGCAAGCAAGTAACGTGCTAAGAACTTGTCTTAGTGACTTAGTCAAACAACCCTGGCAGCAGTGTGGAGAATGCACTCTACAGATGTTAGGGATTGTCTTTGTTAAAACTATGATGATCCAAACAGCTTTATTTGGAAAATATACCCTTTATGTGATCCTCTACTCTGGTCAAGGTGAGTGAAAGTACAAAAATAAGAATGTGGTCTAAGTGATGAGACACAGAGACCAAAGACTTCTCATTTCAAAGTTGTTAGCACTTTTCCTTTAACAACCTTGTGTGAAACACAGGTTGAAAAACGGCAAAATTATTCTACCAACTTAGAGGTGACCTCAGCTGCTCAAAAAACTTTACTGAATTTAAACCATAACTTTAAATGTTTGACAAGGAACAGCAACAACAGATCCTTCTTTCTTTTGGACAGCTACGCATGATTCAGTATTAGTGACAGAAGAATTTAAACCAGAAAGTGTCCCTCTTTGCAAAGCAATTTAATGATGAAATCAAAAAGAACTCTTCCAGACCAGTTCACAGGTCCTCAGGCTGGTTTTGGTGCAGACAGCTGAAATGCACATGCCCAGCCCATGAGACACAATGGCACTTGGAGGCTTTGCTGTGGGAGGCATTACAGATGGGGTGAGGGGGAGGGAAAAGGAGAGAGATACTGGTTAGAAAAGATTTACTGTCCTAGGCATGCGGATGGCCGAGATGGGCAGCACCCAAAGACAGTTGGGCAAATCAGAGGATTATTTGCAACACTGAGCCACCTCCCCCAGACGCCATGAGAACTGAAGCAGTGCTGAAGTGCAAACAAGGCACAAAGCCAGGCCTCCCAGGACGATCACAACAACAACAGCGCAGCAGCAACAATAGCAGGGGAAGGAGCTCCAAGGCAATTGTAACATTTTCCTTGAAAACTTGCAGATTCTAAAGGAAGAAGATAGGATTCTCCCACCCTGAGAATCTCCCATTAGCTTAGAAAATAATGAGTTTGCTTTGAAAATAATAAGCAACTTGACTTTTTCTGATTATAAAAACATACGTTGTGGTAAAAATTCAGAAAAGGAAAAAG